TCTGATAAATGATAATTATAGACAATTTCCTAACACAGAAGTAGCCTTTGGCAGTATTATTTTTAAGTAGTAAGTTAAATTCATAAGTAAAAGTAAGTAGAAACGAACATTTTTACAATTGTTAATTTCACAATAAAAATAAATTATATGGCTTGGTTTTTTTGTTGTAGTAATGTTTTATGTGATTCTAAAAATAATGTTATTTAGAAAAAAATATTTAAAAAAATAATGGGAAGTTGCCATTATTTTCAACAATAATAAGATTAGTACATATATTGTTAATAATGTTTTAAAAATTAATATGTAATATGAAACTTTCATATTACTGAATGCTAACCTACATAATCTTCCAATTAGGTATCTATGATCCTACTGTTAATTGTGTATCCCTTTTTGCCTTTATAAGGAATGCTTTGAAACGTTATACAAACAGGCACTTGGTGCTTTTTCAGTTGGACAAGTATCAGTGCTCCCCCTTTTCTGCTGCTCTTTGTTGCTCTCTTGTTACGAGCTTTCTTATCAGACGTTCTTTGGAGCACCAGCCATCAAATAATGACATGCAGACTTCTTAGTAATGATGAAAGCTTGGCCTTTACCTTAGACTTGAGAGGCAGCTGACTCTTATAGCTTAATTAACCCTTCCACATGGCTTTTACCTTTACTTGGTACCTATGGCTTGTTCCACGTCTGCTTGCAAAACCGGGCACCCAGATTCTTCCTTCTCTTCCTCTCTTTGCCTGGAAACCCTGCCTACACTCTCCTGCCACACTATTGGCCATTCAGCTCTTTATTAAACCAATCAGAAGATGCCTTAGTCAGAGATGCATCTTTACGGTGTGCACAAATATTCTGCAACATCTCTCTAGTGTCTTCAGAATGTTATGATTTATGTTTTGTTCATTTACAGCTGCTATTTGTAGGGCTAGTCTGATAGAAGCTACTTCTTTTTTACCAAACACTGAACTCAACTTACTATATTCAAAACATGTCTTGTGGGTGGGTATCTTGTGATTTACAAGGACAGTCAGATCATTTGTATCATGGTAATTACATACACACACACACACACACACACACACACACACACACACACACACACACACCCTTTGATCTGGTTTAATTATATTGTATAACACCCTGTTGTAATGCTCATTGTTAGTGATTCTTTTCATTTTCTTGGATTAAGTAAAAAACAAGATCAGGTACTAGTTTGTTCTTTACTGTGTTGCAAACAGTGGTCTTAGAGAAAACCAAATTTATATAGGTCTTAATTTAGACAAAAATTAGATTTTTTTAAAGTAGTACTATAATCAGACTTTTTCGTCAGGACCATCAGCTTCCACCAATAATAACAGGGAGACTTGTTATTTTTTATGAAAGCTCAGCCAATAGCTTAAGCTTGTTTCTAAATAGCTCTTATAACTTAAATTTAACCCATTTATTAATTTACTTTCTGCCTCATGCCTTTATTACCTCATCTTCATAGCACCCACCCTGCTAGCTCTGCCTCTCAAGGCTTCTTCTCCTTCCTTCCAGTGTCCTCTCTTCCTCCCAAACCCTGCCTAGTTATTGACCTTTCAGCTCTTCATTAAACCAGTCCAAGTGACATAGAAACTTTAATCCCAGGAATGTTTCTGGTATTTTAAATTCACTGTTGTTTTGAACCACATTTCTTTCCAGCTTAAAAGAAGTATCTTTCTCTTGCTAACAAAAACTTTCTTTTTTTTTAAGATTTTATTTATTTATACAACATTCTGCTTTCATATATATCTACACACCAGAAGAGGGCACCAGATCTCATAACGGATGGTTGTGAGCCACCACATGGTTGCTGGGAATTGAACTCAGGACCTCTGAAAGAGCAGTCGGTGCTCTTAACCTCTGAGCCATCTCTCCAGCCCCAAAAACTTTCTTTTAATAAACATAGTTTTATTTATTTTACGGATCTTGCTGTTGCTAATTGTACCTAGTAAAGCCTGTGGCTAACCTAAAGTTATGAAGATTTTTGTCTGGAATTTTGAGGAGTTTGACTGACTGATTTGCTAGTTGGTTGGTTTGTGCTAAGATTTTTCTGTGTATTGTAGCCTGGTCTTAAACTTACTGCAGCCTCCCAGTGTCGGGATCACAAATGTGTACCACCATGCCTGACTTGTCCTGTTGTTTTCTTTGTGCTTCATGGCTTCTTTTTTGATGCTATAGCTAATGATCAATCCGTGGGCCCTGTGTATGCTAGGCAAGATCTTTGCTACTAAGCTGCATCCCCGAAGTCCAGATTTATGACGAAATTTTAGTTCACTTTTATGATATGTGGATTAAAATTATAATCTTTGCATGGAAATTTGTCCTTTCCTGAGAGCTCTACCCTTTTCTGCGCCATTGCCTTTTTACCTAAAACTTCAGTTGACCACATGGGTGTAGATTTCGTATTTTTTTAGTTAGCATACAATGGAGTTTTATTGTGACACTGTCGTTTACAATCCGTCTCTGTTGATCCTCCTCCCTTCCTCTCCCTTCCCATTCTCCTGCCGCCCATAACCCTTGCAGTTCCAGTAATCAGTCCCTTTCCTCCTCCATGGCACCGTGTTCTCCTACCACCACGCTTTCCTTCACCTTTTGCCATCTCATCCCCTTCCTACTTCATGGCATGCCCATATTTACCCCCTTAGAAATTAAAGGCCTCGGGCTCACATAGGAGAGACCATATAGTATTTGTCTTTCAAAGTCTGGGTTACTTTAATAATTTCTAGACTTACCCATTTTCCTGAAAATTTTGCAATTTCATTTCTCTTTACCGATGAATAAAGTGTCAGTGTGCACATGCGCCACACTTTCATTGTTTCTTCGTTTGCACATGTCCATGTGGGCTGATTCCATTTCCTTACTTTGTGACTAGAGTAGCAGTAAATAGATGTATAAGTTTCTCCATGAGAGAGTATGTCCCCAGAAGTGGGGGTATATCTGTGTCATATGTGGAGTTTTATTTCCAGTTTTTGAGAAACTTGCATACTGATTTGCATAGTAGCTGAACGACCTAACACCCCAGCCAGCAGTGTAGAAGGACCTCTCCCTTCCACATCCTTGTCCTAGCATTCATAGTTTCACTCTAGTTATTCTGGATAGCGTGAGATGGATTCCCAGTGGCTGACAATGTTGAACATTTAAAAAATGTGTATTGACCTTTGTGTTTGTTTTGAAAACTGGCAGTTGGAGAATAGGATGGTGGTTAATTTTAGCAGTATATATATATGTACTAAAGATTTTCTCCTGTTCTCAGGCTGTCTTTTCACTCTGCTAACAGTCTCCTTTTAAGCTTTCTTTTAAAAGTCAAGAATCATTTTTCAATGTGTTGTACTTTTTTCAGACTTAAGAAATGTCAATACTGTTTGTTTGTCTCTTTGAACATACTACTGATATAAGTTGCCGTTTATAATACTCAACCACTTTCCTATTTCAAGAGTAAGATACAGTTGGTCTTGGGGTATCAGTCATCCTGTGCTTGTTTTCCTATACTTGATTGAGAGTTTGGCACTATAATATGATAAATAGTTTTACCAATGTCAGTTTAACTTGACTTGTAGTGTTCTCTTTGTCAAGTAGACTGAATGTTCCTGTTCAGAATATTTGTGCATTTAACTTGAATGTATACCAAGCATTATCATTTGTGATTATATAATGTTAATGAACCACTACTGATAAACTATGTCTGAGGAATTTCTCCTTTTTTTGAAACCTAAATCAGATTTCTTGGAAAGCATTAAAAGAGGCAGGTAACTTTCTAAATTGCTTTTCTATGAGTGGAACAAAGAATGGGACACAGTATCTGTATATAGGGTCCTATATATACTAAGGAAATGGCAGAAATTGTAGACATTGTCTTCTGCTATAGTGGGCCTAAGAAATGGGAAGTAGAAGCAGAATAGAAACTCCACGTCCTAACATGAAGAAGTATAATCAACTTTACTTGGTTCTCAGAAGAACTTTAAAAGTTGTGTGGGGCAGAGGGGTAGTGTTCTTTGTCTGTTCGTCTTTTGGTTAGTACCTATGTTGAATCCATTAACCATTGCAGTTAATGTTAAGATAAACATGACTGTCCGGGTATCGCATTAGTAGGCTGACATTGGTTCTTGTGAATAAGTGGATGACTAGATTATATCGTTCTGTTTTACATTTGAGGGGGGCACTTTTCATACACTTGACAGTGTGTGATGGTGGAAAGAACACATATGGAATCCCAAAGAGGTTTCAAGTCCCTTTCTGAGGTTGGGTAAGTTAAGTAACTTCCCTGAATCTTGGTTTCTTCACCTAAATAGTTGGGAGAAGTAAAATGCATATTGTATATGCAACCCCAAGCAAAATAATTGATTATTTTAGTTTTTTATAAACTGGATTTTTTGTGACTCTGGACTTTATAATAACATGTTTCACTTAACCATTTTATAATTGTTCACAAAAGGAAGATTATGTGTTTTAGATTAAGCCAAATTTAAGCTTCCCTAATACAGATTTATACTTAATTCACTGAAAACTTACTTTTATAACCCAATTCCTTGGGAAGTTCATTCTACTTTCACACGTTTTAACCAACTGTATAATCATTTATACTTTAGGACTGTATAATCATTTTACAGCTAGAGACCATTGTGAAGACAGTTGCACAATTATGAATTTAAAAGGTGGCTAAATTAAACCTCTACCATAAAAATTTTAGTAAATTCTAAATGATCTGAGCCATCTACTTAAAATATCAGTAGAAATTACTGGAAATTCTGAGCACATTCTTAGCTATTACTATTTGTTATAAGAGTTTAAATTCTATTTTAAAATATTATTAACTTAAGTCTACTTAGAGACATGCCTACATAGCTACTATTGTATATAAATTCTGTGTTTTTTTAACTTGGGTGACATGTATCTTCTTCATTTATCCTGTTTCTGTTAGTAGGTTTCAAAACATGTGGTTTCTGGGTTTTGATAAACATCTGTTCTATTTTTTCCTGAAGATTGGGACAGGGAGAAATTGCTTGAAGCTTGGATGTCTAACCCAGAGAACTGCTGCCAACGGTCAGGTGTGCAGATGCCAACTCCCCCACCAAGTGGGTACAATGCCTGGGACACGCTTCCTTCCCCAAGAACTCCAAGGACTACTCGCTCTTCTGTCACCTCTCCAGATGAAATCAGTCTGTCTCCTGGGGACTTAGATGCCAGTTTGGTATGGCTTAGTATACTTCCCATAGCTTTGCTTTTAGTTTTTCAACTTTGGAACTATGTGATACTGTTCCATGGAGTGACTGGCTATATGATTATAACTGAATGCTGTTCCTTGCTTTGAAGGCTCAGTTATTTTCATGCTTTGGTAAATGTTTTTGTGAGCTCTGAATTATAGGTTGAAAAGTAAAATATTTTCTTACTTCAGAACAATTTAGAAAAGCCGTGTGCTATATTTTTACCTAAAAGTATTCAGTTATTTAAACACAGCATACTGGAAATACTAAAACTTAGTTTGTAGTATGCATGCTTACCCTAAAACATAACTTTTAGAATAATTTGCTTGAATGCTAATTTTTAAAGCAATTTGCAGTATATTTTTATGATCATGCACTTGTCCAGCAAAGCTTTTGAGTTGGCCATTCAGGGCATTTTCGTAGTAAAAGCTTCTCCTTTAACGTGGAGCAGCACTGCCTGTCTGTGAGGTAACAGCACACAGACTGGTGTGCTGAGCAGGACATGAGCTTCTTGAGTGCTTTTCCCACTCAGAGTTTGTAATAGATACGAAAGAAAGCACCCTTTGTCTTGTGTAGGGACCATTTAGGAAAGCAAAATCCTATTCGATAATTCACCATTTACATAAAGGTTTGTTTCTCTTAAGTCATGTTAAAAGATAACATAGTTTTATATCAGACTTCCTTGCATGAAAAACTTTACTTTGCTTCTTATTTTGTGTGTGGGGGGGGGCGGGGGGTGGTAGGGTAGAAGGTGTTAACAGTTGAACTTAGGTGTTCAACCCTGCTAGCCAAGCACTGTACCACTGAGCCACATTCTCCAGCCCAAGTTGCCAGTCTTAAAAATCCTGAAGTGTTGTGTTCGAAGCACAACGTTGCTCTGTTTCTGTGCGCTTTCCACAGTGAGCACAGAGTGAAAGACACACACTCAAGTGGGTGCTTTGTAGTGCCTGTGGGATCTTGACCTGAGTGATGCTAATGATTGGTTTCTTGTGTTTCCCTTTCCTGATGCACAGTGCTGATTAATAGCTAAACCTAGTTTGTTTGTTTGTTTGTTTGTTTGTTTTTATTAAGATACTAAATGCCATAACCAATATTTAAAAAAAACAAAAAACAAAAGGCAGTCATGGTATTTATCATTAAGTCCAAGCTAGGCACTCTTTACAGACTTTGTAGCTTTGAGACATTTGGCTTTTTTTTTTTTTTTTTTTTTTTTTTTTTTTTTTTTTTGTCATTTTATATTCTACTCACAGTTTTCCCTCCCACTGCTCCTCCTACAAGACATTCAACTTTTTTTTGGTTTTAGGGGAGTTTTTTTGTTTTTCTAGACAGGGTTTCTCTGTGTAGCTTTGTAGACTAGAGTGGCCTCAAACTCATAGAAATCCACCTGCCTCTGCCTCACGACTGTTGGGACTAAAGGCGTGTGCCACCAACACCTGGCTTGAGATATTTAACTTTTAAGATTTATGATTCCTGTAATATTTTTTGTCGTTAAACTATTGAACAAAATGAGTGCATTGCTTCTCTTTAGAGTATGACCCTGTTAAGTCACTTTTCTTGTACATCTCCAGTGTGACATTTGTATGTGCAGTATCTCTGTATTTGAAGATCCAGTGGACATGCCCTGTGGACATGATTTTTGTCGAGGATGTTGGGAATCGTGAGTATATGAACAGCTTATTCATCGTTTCTGCGTGATAGCACCTTTGGTTTCGTAATGAAATTGTTTGCTTTCAGTATTTAATCATCATTTATGTTGGTTTCTGAATTACATGGCTGCATACTATGCTTCATTACAAAGAATATTTTTGTGTTTCCTCTGATATCAAAGAAAGTATATCTAAACAATTGTATTAGTATTTTTATTTATATTACACATAATATAAACTTCAGATGTAAACTGAATATAAAGAATCAGTTTCTGTCTTTTATCCCAAGGATTTTAAGCATTGGTGGTCTCTGAACTTTTTATTTATTTATTTTTTATTTTTCATTTTTGACTTTTTGGCTTTTTGAGGCAGGGTTTCTCTGTGTAGCTCTGGGGCCTGTCCTGGAACTCACTCTGTAGACCAGGCTGGCCTCGAACTCACAGAGATCCACCTGCCTCTACCTCTCCCATGCTGGGATTAAACTTGTGGCTAGAGGGATGATAGCTTAGCAAATAATGGCATTGGCCTCTAACCCTAATGGCCTGAGTTTGATTCCCCAAATCCACTTTATGAAAAGAGAGGAAGGACTCCTTCAGGTAGTCATATACAGTGTGGTATGTGTGCCCCACTTCCACACACAAATAAATAAATGTAAATTTTTTTCAAAACATTCTTTCAGCTGAATGTAGAAAAATAAAACTTGGCCTTTCATGAAGTGGGAATCCTCCTGTCTGCTTTACTTTTCCCATCTTCTCTACATTATCATTGCGGTCCGATGCTTTGTGGATCTGTGCCAAGGACTTAAAGAAAAGGAAATTACTCTTTCCCACCCACACTGAGACATTCTTCAGAATAGTAATCCTTACGCCTCATGTCTAAGACAGGCTTTCTAGGTCTCCCTTGATTTTCTTTTTTTTCCTAAGTGCAGTGAAATTATTAGATGCCCCTAAAGGAAGAAGAGAATAGAAAAATCAACGTTGTTGATCATATTAACCAGGCAGTCATAATTTAGTTGTCTATTCTCCATCAGTTTCCTCTAGAATTGTTAAATACAGTATAATCCACAGCTAGAAATGTATCGTTGTTGGTAGAATGCTTGGCTGGCATTCCTGAGTACCAACCAACCTTAGTATCGTATAAACCTGGCCTGCTGGCACATGCCTGTATGTGAAGTAGAGGCAAGAGGACCAGAAGTCCAAGGACAGTCTCAATTATATAACAAGTTTGAGGCTCTCCTAGAGTACATAAGAACTTGTATCAAAAAAATTATTTAAAGGCCATTAAAATCCAGTCTTAAAACATTCGTCTCTTGCTTATATAAACATGATATTAAGTTATAACATCTTGTAAAACACACAGATTCTTTTTATATTGAGCTATACATTTTCCCCTCCTACCCTCTCCCATCCCACCCTCCCTCCTGCCCTATTTACTCAGGAGATCCTGTCTGTTTCCCCTTCCTAGGCGGGTCCTATGTCTCTCTTAGGGGCCTCTTTGTTACCTAGGGTTCTGTGGGGTTGTGGCCTGTAGGTTGCTTGTCCTTTGCTTTATGTCTAATATCCACTGAATACATATTATATTTCATCTTTCTGGGTCTGGGTTACCTCACTCAGGTTGGTGTTCTCTAGTTCTGTCCATTTGCCTGCAAAATTCAAGATGTCATTATTTTTACCACTGAGTTGTACTCCATTGCGTAAATGTACCTCATTTTCTTTATCCATTCTTCCAGTTGAAGGGCATCTAGGTTGTGTGCAGGTCTGGCTATTACAAATAATGCTGCTATGAGCATAGTTAAGCAAATGTCCTTATGGTAGGAATGTGCATCCTTTGGATATATGCCCAAAAATGGTATATCTGGGTTTTGAGGTAGATTGATTCCCAATTTTCTGAGAAACCACCATATTGATTTCCAAAGCAACTGTACAAGTTTGCACTCCCTCCAGCAATGGAGGAGTGCTCTCCTTTCTCCATATCCTTTCCAGAATAAGCTGTCATTGGTGTTTTTGATCTTAGCCATTCTGATCAGTGTAAGATGGAATCTCAGAGTTGTTTTGATTTGCATTTCCTTGATGGCTAAGGATATTGAACAATTCCTTAAGTGTCATTGGGCCATTTGAAATTCCTCTGTTGAGAGTTCTCTTTTTAGATCTGTATCCAACATACAGATTCTTAATCAATACCAGGTCTTCTGTATATATTTTACTATCCTATCTGTGTAACAGCCCTGGGAAGTAGATATTATTATCCTAGTTAAAATATTGTGAAAGTAAGGCTTTTATCATTAAAATAAATTGCTAAAGATCATTAAATTTAAGACAAATCTTTCTAGCTCAAAACTTACTGTGAATGGGTTAATTCACCATGTACTTCTTTCTATTTTGCAATATGCCTTTTTCTTACTACCTTATTAGTGTACATAGAATATGACAGGGAACTCATTTTCATATTCATCTAAATGAAATATAAGGGAAAAAGTTTTTCTTTAAAAAGGTATGTTCCATTGATGCTACAAAAACTTTGATTTATCTCTGGATAATTTCTCTTTTAGTTAAAGGGATAGAATATTCAGAATTCTTTCTAGGTCACTCAGTTCTGAGTTTTTTACATGAAAAATAGTTCAGATTTTTCAAAGGACAAAGTAAAACAAAGTTATATAAAAAGAGTGTGTGTGTGTGTGTGTGTGTGTGTGTGTGTGTGTATGTGTGTGTGTGTGTGTATGTGTGTGTGTGTGTAGAGGTGGGGTGCTTGAGCAAAACTAGGTGTTTCAAATGATAATCCCTGTTTTATTGGTGTGCTTTGTTGTTTGTTTGGCTTGATTTTAATTGGTCTGGCTGTTTTAGTTTTTTGACAGAGGTTTTCATTGTGTAATGTAGTCCTGGGCTACCTTACAAACTTGAAGGCCTCCATCCAGCCTCGGGCTCTTGAGTACAGAGTTGCGTGTGCTCGCAAGTGCAGCTGTGGCAGAGAGTGATGACTGGAGAAGAAACGCAGGTCCTGGTGCATGCTAAGCATCCTCCATTGCACTCACTATACAGCTCTCGGTGTTGTTTTAACTCCACAGACATAGAAAATACATCAGAAAGAAAAACATTGTTAGGATGTACAAAAACTTACATCCTCTCCCTTTTTCTGTCCCTTGATATTTTAACAGGTTTTTAAATCTGAAAATTCAAGAAGGTGAAGCCCATAATATTTTCTGCCCTGCATATGAGTGCTTTCAACTTGTGCCTGTAGATATTATAGAAAGTGTAGTTTCTAAGGAGATGGACAAACGCTACCTACAGTTTGATATTAAGGTATGGTACCTGTTTATTAAGCCTATATTTTCTTTTTATAAACAAAGTAGTGTTCTCTTTGTTTTCCAAAAAAATGCATATATCAATGGTAATATTAATTAAAACTTTGAGCCAAAGCAGAATTTTATAAGTATAAAAGGCAAAATGAAAATTAACCCCCCACAAAAGAGCTGTCCCTGTTTTATTGATAAAATAGCGTTTAAAGTACATAGTAACAAACAAAATTTTAACTTGGAAATTAATAACGTCCTATTCCAAATAATAGTTTAATACAATAAATTACAATTTTTTTGTCTTTTTTTCCTTATCCTCCATTTTCACTTAAGAGTTAATGGGAAACATGCAACTTACTTTTTTTGTGTATGTAACTTTGTATAGATTTTTCTTACTCTAAATGTTATTAAGTAATTTTTAAAAAGTTAGGCCCTACCTCTTTAATGTAGAAAATATTATAATACTGATTTTTATATATTTCTCAAAATGCATCTACAAACTTAGTATTAAAATATAACATACACATTTCTGCTTACATTTAATCGAAAAAGTAGCACAATACGTAACAAGCCATTCTTATGTTAGACATTTTTATGCAGATAGTTGCATTTTTACTTTATTATCATTTACCTAGTTTTTAGATTAAAGAAAAAAAGTTTTGAAAATCATTCTATCACTAAGCTAAATGGCACATTTTTGTTTCTGAAGTATTTCAAGTACTGTTTTTAGTATTTTTTTAAAGCTGAACTTTTGTGTTTGATTTCATTCTTTTATTTGCTTTGAGTCACTGTGGAGATAAACTCTGTTTTAGAATTTGCAGCTGAAATAGTTTCTTTTGTTTTTCTTCTTACTATGATTTTTAAACAGGCCTTTGTTGAAAATAATCCTGCCATTAAATGGTGTCCTACTGCAGGCTGTGAAAGAGCAGTCAGACTGACAAAACAGGGGTCAAATCCCTCTGGGTCTGACACCCTCAGCTTCCCCTTGCTAAGAGCTCCTGCTGTGGACTGCGGCAAAGGACACCTCTTCTGCTGGTTAGTATAAGGCAGGCCAGAGCCGCCGCACCTTGTGTTGATAGTTTGTAAAGACTTTGAGCGGTGAATTGGGTATATAAAATGTTGTGTACTTGATACTATTCTTAGTAATTTAGTTCATTCTTAGTATACAATGTGTATAAAATGCAGTGCACTTAATACTATTCTTCATAATTCTTAGTCATAACTATCCTAGGCTTGATGTTTGCACCATGCTAAGTCCTTTTAATGTGATTATATATTTTTAACTGAATTATTCTCCCAATGCTGTGAATTGAATACTGTTATATCCACCTTATCCATAAGGAAGTTCGGTCTAGTTTTACAACTAGAATATGGCAGGGATGGAAGTGGAAGCCCACTGTTGATTCCAGGGCCCATTTACTTAATCCATAACCACAAAATTGCTGATTATAGATTAGAAAATGTTCATAGTTTCATCTCTTCATAAACTGTAAGCCTTTGGCAACCATTGTAAGCCAGGGGTGTTTAGAGTTACCAAGCAGTCTTTTCCAGATTTCTATCCTGGACTTAAACATGTATGTGTTTTAGAGAGGCTCTCCCAAAATGAGTTCTTGGGTGATGGTAAAGTGTGATCCTGTTTAGGAACTTAGGGCTATCTATGGCTTCAATTTTATTTAGTCTCCAGTGCCTCTTAAGTGCTGAGTAAGGGTGAATTGATGATCAACTAACCCTGCAAATAACATGTAACTCAGCGTGCTCATTTTGCTTTATGTTTGTCAGTAATCAGCATTCTCATTTATTCCAAGTAGATTCAGTTAATAGTTTTATTAATAGTATTCTGCTTTTTGTCTATTTCTAGAATTAGCACACACATACATGAGCATACATGCAGTTATTTAGAACATTGCCTTCAAGATTCAGAATTCTAGCTAAAGAAAATAACTATCAAAATGATGATTCTTACTTAATTCACTCAGTATTTGTGATTTCTAAGGTTCTTTAATTATATATAACTAAAATTTCTAACTTCTTGATAGAATTTTTTTTTATCAAGTAGTAAAGTTTTAAAGGAGTAGAAGGCTTTTCCTTTTTAAGCCACTTTATATTCCTACCAACAGTTGTGTACATTGACACATCTTGTTTTGTTGATGTTAGGATAGCATCCAGGGGTACAGACTTCAGACAGCCATGTTTTTTCTTTATAACCTCAGTAGATCCTCCACACCATTTTCTATGAACATCTTGAGATACAGTTTCAATAGATAGCAGATAGTAGTCACCCATTAAATTTTAGGAGTGAGGTGTGGTCATGCATCCTTATAAACTTAGGAAGTTGAGACAGAAAGAACAAAGGTTTGAAGCCAGCCACTTACACAGCAAAACCACATCCCAGAAGTACAAGAAAATCTTAAAGAATTTAGCTTTATGATATCAGCAGGACTACATCTGCAATCTAGATTATTACCCAGCTACTCTATCTAGTAGCCATTATTAGAATACTTTGGAGTCCAAACTTTTTTTCCCCAGCTACTCTATCTAGTAGCCATTATTAGAATACTTTGGAGTCCAAACCACTTTTCTCAGATGAGTTAGTACACAAGGGTAGCATTAAACAGCAGCCCATGGCTCTCTTTCTACTATGCAGTCCTTGCTAGAGCTTCTTACAAGTGTCTTCTTTACACCCACTCTCAATGTTCATAGGAACGACCAGGCTGTCCTCACACCCTGGAAATGTTGCTGATGAGGCTGGTGCCTAGAGCAGCAACAGCAAGCCTGTGTCCTGCGAGGCTGTGGGAAGGAAGGCATTCTGTTGCTTGCTCTCTCATGGTACCCAGGCTTAGAGCCATGCACATCCGTAAGCAGTTACAGCCTTTTGAAGAAGTCTTGTTTGGCTTTTTAGATTCTATTTGACAGCATTGGGGTTTTCCTCCATGATTTTCTTTTTCCTCTCAGAATATATTCTGACAGCAGGACCAATATACTAATACTGATTCTTCTAGAAGATAGTGAATGTGCTATTTAATCTCCAGGGATGGAAAAAAACCTTAATGGAGCTAATTTATTTTTATTGATTTCATTTATTTCTTTTAGTTATTGAAGACATCCTAGGATTTTTTTTCCTAATTTCTTGAGTTATAATTAACAAGTAGACTTTTTTTAAGGAGTGTCAAGAAATGAAGATGCTTCATTCCCCCAGGAATTCTCGAGTACCACATAGGACACTCCTTCTTCCTGTGTGCTAGTACAGGTGCCTAGGGAAAGTCTGCACTTAGCATTGATATGAGGCTGCACTTCAAAGCATATAACATGTGCCCTTCTGTCTTTACACAACCCAGTTAGTTTGAGTATCTAAGTCACCACTACCACCCCTTACCTTTTCATGACCCTCAGAGGCCCTCTTCCTCTCCCAGCAGCCATTGGTAGCTGTTGTTCTGTTCACTGTCATTAGCCTACTCTCCATTTAGTAGCAGTGAAACCCTGCAGGTTTGATCCTTTCTTATCTGGCTTATTTCCCTTATAAACATAAAGGTCGTGTGTTTGAGCTCTTGGTCTCAACCTGACGCACTGTTTTGGGGCATGGTGGAGCCTCTGAGAGGTGAGGCCTTGCCTTAAGAAGTGGGTTGCTGCTGTGTCACAGGTGGGTTCCCAGCCCCAGGCCTCCCCCACCTACCTTGATGATGGAAGTCTCTGCTTAACCCCTGGGCTGAAGTAATCCTGCCTCTCCCTAAGTTGGTTTTGTCATGGCATCACTTTGTCACTGTGAAGAAACAAGCAATAAACAAGCATGAAATTTCTGGTAGCTCTGTTTCACTTCTTAGAAAGCCAGCAAACTAGTCTCCAGACAGCTGTATCAGCGTTAGCTTTTCTGTCAGCAGGCCCCAAGGGTTCCAGTTTTTTAAATCCTTACTAAAACTGGTTATTTATCATTTACATAAATAATGAATATGAAGGAAAATCTTTATCAATACATTATACCTCTTAGTTTGTGAGACTTTTTCTAAATCAGTTGGTATGTCTTAACAAATAAGATCTTTATTTAAGAAGGTGGTAGTGGTGGTGGTAATATGTCCAGCTTTTGGCACCTCTCTCCCCAAAGTCACTTTCTAGTACACAATGTTGCACCATTTTGAATCAAAATGAGTGATTTTATAAAGAGTTTAGACTCCTAATATTTGAGCTCTATGATATTCATAGGAAGAATGTATAATTGAGTTCCAAATGATGAATTGATATTTTCGATTATTTATATCTCATTTTCAAGATCCCTGTAAAAGTGACTTTTAGTTCCTTGCACTGGCAGTTACCAGCAATTTTGGAGGTAAATGTAACTTACGCATATGATGTGCAGTGCTAGGGAAACTGCCGTGTGGACTCAGTGCTTCTGAGCAAGCATGACACCTGACACCTCATAAAAGCCAGATCTGGTGGCTGGTGGCAGGTGGCAGGTGTCTGTGACCCCAGCCCTGGGCTGCGGTGAGTGGACACAGGTAGATGAGTCTACAAGTAGAGTTACTTCCACACTGCTTCTCAGACTCTAAATGAAGAAGGGTCATCCTGTTTTGCAGTGGGCGTGTCTCTGGGCTTGTTCTAAGGAGCCTCTAAGAGAACAGTGGTGCTGTTAGCAAAGGACCGACGACACACCAGAGTAGCAAGAATTAGAACAGTTAATAAAGTTGTTCTATAGCTCCTAAAACTGCAAGACTAAGAAGTGTTAGATAATCCATGTGGACTTTTAAAATGTGTAACCTTGGGCCAGAGTTGTCAAGCTTTGAACTCTCATTTTTCAAATCCACTTTTAAAATGCTTCACGTCTCATCTAATTTTTTTTCAATTTTAAAGTTGGATTAATATTTACCATCCATGTATTTTTATCCAGATAGTGATGAGGACTGTTTTTCAAAGGCTTTTCTATTTTGTTGTTTAGGGAGTGCCTTGGTGAAGCACATGAGCCTTGTGACTGCCAAACATGGAAAAATTGGCTACAGAAAATAACTGAAATGAAGCCAGAGGAACGTAAGTGGAATTTTACATAGCTGTGCTACATATTTCCTACAGCCATTGAAAATATGATGTCATATTTCTCATAAGAGAAATTTTCAGATTTGCTAACATGAAGCCCCATGTTCAGCATGGCCCGTCTCACTTAAATCCTTTTGGAGCTGGGTTTATACAAGGCAGAATCATAGGCAGATCTTTGCTTATAACAAGACGTTTTAGCCTGAGGTGCAAGTGAGGGTCACATTTAACCCTCTCACGAAGCCCTTCTCATCCTTCAGTGGGCCACCTTGTTTTTCGGTACTTTACAGTATTAAATTTATGGTCTGTAGTAAGAAAAAAACTTACTTCCCTGAAACTTCCAGTGAAAAATTAATTTCTTGCTACTATGCAGTTCTGTATATTTACTTAAAACTGAGACTTCTCCTTTTTTTTTTATTATTGAAAATAGATTCTTCCCTTATACAATACATCCTGACCACAGTTTCCCTCCCTCCACTCTCCCCATACCACACCTCTTCCCTAGATCTTTTCCCTTCAAAAAGGAGCAGGCTTCCAAGAGACAACTAAACACAACAGGACAAGACAGAATAAAGCAAAGCAAAAGCTCTAATATCAAGGCTGGACAAGGCAACCCAATAGGGGGGAAAAGTCTCAAGAGCAGACAAAAGATTCAGAGATACATCTACTCCCACTGTTAGGAGTCCCACAAAAAAAAATGCCAAGCTAGCAGCCATAACATATATGCAGAGGACCTGATGCAGGCTCCATGTTTGCTACTTCAGTCTTTGTGAGCCCATGTGAGCCATTGCGTCTTAGTGTTTCTCTTGCTATGACAAAACACCATGACCAAAAGCAACTTGGGAAGGAAAGTGTTTACTAGGCTTACATTTCATCATCACTGTTCATCACTGAAGGAAGTCAAACAAGCCAGGATCCTGGAGTCAGGAGCTGATGGAGAGGCCATGGAGAGTGCTGCTTACTCTGCTTTCCATGGCTTGCTCAGTCTGCTTTCTTATAGAACCCAGAACCACCAGCCCAAAGATGGCATCACCTACCATGGCTTGGGCCCTCCCCCGTCAGTCACTAATCGAGAAAATGCCTTACAGCTGGGTCTCATGAAGGCATTTCCTCAACTGAGGCTCCTTCCTCTCTGATGACTCTGGCTGGTTCCAAGTTGACACACAAAACCAGGAAGTACACCTGCTTAGTTGATTCAAATACTAAAACTTGTATAAATACATTATCTCTGCTCCATCATGGGAAGGGTATGAAGTGATGTTAGCAATGCCATTTTTCAGATGAGCTGACGCTTGGGTTCAGTGACATAGGCATATATTGAGTGACAGAATAGATTTGAATTTCTGAAGGATTCCTTTTACGTTCTTCCCAATAGCAATGCCCATGTTTAACAAATAAATATATTTTCTTTGTAATAATTTCCATTGTCTAAAGTAATGTAAGTGAAGATTTCATGAGGGTCTTCTTACATGTTTTAGATAATGGAGTTTTAGTTTGAAGTGTTGCAAATCAGGATCAAGAATTCACTTGGAGCTGGGCAGTGGTGGTGCCTGCCTTTAATCCCAGCACTCAGGCACTCAGGAGGCAGGAGGATCTCTGTGAGTTTGAGGCCAACCTGGTCTATAAAGCTACACAGAGAAACCCTGTCTCAAATAAAAAAAAAAAAGATTTCACTTGATGAGTTTATTCTTCAGAATAAAAGTGGACTATGAGAAAGCTGTCAGATATAGCATATGGTACCATATAGTTAAATAAACATGAGAACAACTAGCTGGGATTGAAGGCAGAAAGAGTACCACAGGCTCTCCTGGACTGTGGATTGACTTTGGGCTGCTCTGCAGAGGCAAAGGTGTGGAATAGGCATTTGTGCTTGTCTCAGAAGTGTCACTTGGTGAGAGACTGGAGCCATGGGATCTTTGGCCTTGTATTATGGAAGGGAACTTCCCATTGCCCAAGGGCTAGTCCTCAGTATTGTAGATCTCTGAGGTTCCTGTTGTCTGTTGCATTGGAATGCTACTTATTCTTAATAGAATAAGCCATGGAGTACATTATTTACACAGGGACATGGCATTTATCAGACCTATTTTTATCAGAATAGCTGGTAACTGTAGAAGGGTAGCTTGAAGGCTGGGTAGACCAGTGGTTGAGAAGTTGGGGTTTTTAATTTGTGTCATAAGATAGACCATTAAGCTGGGTGTTGGTGGCGCACGCCTTTAATCCCAGCACTCTGGAGGCAGAGGCAGGCGAATCTCTGTGAGTTCGAGGCCAGCCTGGTCTCCAGAGCGAGTGTCAGGATAGGCGCCAGGATAGGCTCCAAAGCTACACAGAGAAACCCTGTCTCGGAAAAAAAAAAAAAAGAAAGAAAGAAAAAAAAAGAAAGATAGACCATTAAACCATTAGTCAGAATTAGCAAATTCAAATAAAGAAGTTACTTCCTATGAAAGAGAATAGCCCTTGATGTAGACATTTTGAATGTGAGGTACTTAAAGGATAAATGGTTGGAAATGTCCAGTGGAATTCTGGAAGTACTTGCCTCAGGAGAAATACTAAGAAACATTAGTAACTCATTTATTTTAAATGATGTCTTTCTTATTTAAGCATTATTTGTGTTAGAATATAAAATATAGATACCATCCATGCTCTTAACACGTACATTTGAAATAATGTAAGTGTCAAGTTATTGTAAGAGAATATTTGAGCTGTGGGGAAAGGGGGGATAGAGTCAGGCATCTCAGGAGAGGAGTAACAGAGTTGATGCTTAAATTGCATATTTGAAGCCACATCAGTGCTCTTCTTGTGGGCCAGAATAGGAAGCCCATTAGGTCAGGATGGTGTAGCTTTGTGAAATAGCATGGCATACTGACGGCCTGCAAACGCACCCTGCAGTGCAGGATGGTGTGGTGGACAATGGAGCTATGCCAGCAGTAGGTCAGAGCAGGTGGGCTTAAACAGACCCTGGGGTTTAGAGAAAAGACAGTGTCATTGGTTGAAATCTAGAATGCTTCCTAGGTCCCTGAAGATTGTTGTGCTACAAGATGTAATTAGTCTAACATAGTGTTTTATTCTAAAACAGAATATGGCCTAAGTATGTGGTTTGATATGTAAAGCAAATATTTGGGGGGTGGAGGGTATATTTCCATTGCTGTGATAAAGCACCATGAACAAGCAAGAGAAGAAAGTGTATTTGTGTGTAAGGTTCCAGAGAGGTAAGTGTCCATAATGGCAGAGCATGTCTGCTAGTACCAGGCATGGCAGCTGCAGCAACAAGCTCAGAGTTTGCGTCTTGTCAACAAGCATGAAGCAAAAAAAAAAATGAACTGGAGTAGGACAAGGCTATCAGTTCTTAAAGCCCGCCCCTGGTGACATCTTCCTCTAGCAAGGTCACATCAGCTAAGCCTCATAAGCTAAGTGTCACATAAGCTTACATAAGCTAAGTGTCACAAATGGGGAATATGTTTCACTGAATCCACCACAGGAAACTGGCCGGGAATGATTGTATGTTCCCTTGTGCAGTAGACGTTGGGGGATGCAGCTTTCTTGAGATGTCATCCTTGCTTACCTGAGTTCTCTGGTGATTCGCTGCCTCTGGTGATACCTGTAAACACACAAAACGTACCTGGACGGATAGTATTGTGACTGAGGTCCAACATATCTTCTCTATTGAATGCAAATAGACCCGCCTCCCAGGAAATGTCATGTAATCAATCCATTGTGTGACCAGCTCCTTTCACTCTATAAAGCACACATAGTTTGACCAACACCACTTGTTGAAGATGCTGTCTTTTTTCGAGTCTGTATTTCTGCCTTCTTTGTCAAAAGCAGGTGTCCATAGGTGTGTGAATTTATGTCTGGGTCTTCATTTCGATTGCACTGATAAATATTTCTGGTTTTGTGCCAATACCATGATACTTTCATTACTGTAGTTCTGTAGTACAATTTGAGGTTGGGGGTGGTGATACCTCCAGCAGTTCTTTTATTATTTGGGACTGTTTTAACTATCCTGGGTTTTTTGTATTTCCGTATGAAGCTGAAAAGTTTTTCTTTCAACTTCTGTGAAGAATTGTGTTGGAATTGAATCTGTAGATGCTTTTGGTAGGATGGCCATTATTATGTTAATATTACCAATCCATAAGTATGGAAGACCTTTCCTTTCTGATACTGCCTTCAATTTCTGTCTTCAATGTCTTAAAGTTTGTTATCATACAAGTCTTCCACTTTCCCGGTTAGAGTTACGGTAAGGGAATTTATGTTAGAATTCCTGCATCACATTTCTTGGGAAGATATGAACAGATGTCTATTCAGCCCAGGCAGACCAGAGAAACAAATCCACCCAGTCCAGTTTAGTGAACCGGTGGGTTTCTTGGGGTTACTTGTAGAAGTGTGGCGGGCCCAAGGCAGCTGTGTCATGAGAAAGTTCACCTCACCTCAGCGTGTGATGACTTAAAAGCTGTGTTTCTAGACTTCCTGCACAGCTTGGCGACGGCTAGCTGTCTAGAGAGTCCTCTTTCTCCAGCAGTTGTTCCTTCTGATATAACCCTGGGAACAGGGCCTTGTGAATCTCGTAACTTAAAAATCTCAGTGTTTCAGTTAGGACAGCATAATGTGTTATGCTATCCTTCACCCTACTAAAACTGGGTTAGTTATTCCAGGCCCGCAGATAAGGTTCCTCTATGGAAGGGTAGTAAGATCCCTGACTGGTGTTAAGAGGTTAATGATGAGCCTGGGAAATAGACAGGATAGAAGAAAAAATGTTCACCTAGGAAGTACCTACCAAAGAGGAACCAAAGCAAGCCAAGATTGCACTGAAAGTTCCAGTGCCAAGAGAAGCCTAGGAGTTTGCTCACTACACTTGTGTCCCACTTAAGGGTAACTATACAGGACACTGTGTAAGTCTATGGAGTTGAGGCTTAAATTGGACCATAGTATTAGAGGCTGCTCTAATACTAAAGTAGAGCTCCAGTCGTTAAATATGTAAAAATGACATCATGGAGCCGGGCATTGGTGGCGCACGCCTTTATTCCCAGCACTCGGGAGGCAGAGGCAGGTGGATCTCTGTGAGTTCGAGGCCAGCCTGGTCTCCAGAGCAAGTGCCAGGATAGGCTCCAAAGCTACACAGAGAAACCCTGTCTTGAAGAAAAAAAAAAAAAAAATGACATCATGAAGAAGTAAAGTATGACTAAATATTTTTATAAGTTACATATTCCTTTGTGTTGCAAGTACTTTTCTTTGCATCTTACACCAAAAAATACAGTAACAATCACAACCATTTTTAAGCAATGTCTTACTAACTCATTCAGGCTGACTTGAAACTGGTACTTTCTTGCTACTTTCTTGCTTCTGCCTCCTGAGTAGCTCAGGTTCAGGCAAATGCCACCCCACTCTGCTCTCAGGCTTTTTTTTTTTTTTTTTTTTTCCAAATTTTTAATTTTATGGCCAAATTTATAAGTTCATGAGTGTTTTTTCCCTTAAGCCCAGTTTTCTATTCTTGAGTGGTGAAATTCAAAAGAAGTAACACAGTTAGTGAGAAAAGGTATTAGAAATATACTAAAAATCAGTTCAGAGGATTTCATATAAACAATTGACTAATCTTTTAAAGCACTACATTGATTCTGTTGTGTTTAGTCAGAGCAAGAGGTGGGTATAGTTATATTGTCTGAGATAAAATGGTAAATTTATAAAATGTGCAGACCACTTATATATTCATTAGATGAAACAAATCTTTAGAAGCAGCTTTCGTGTGTGTGTGTGTGTGTGTGTGTGTGTGTGTGTGTGTGTGTGTGTGTGTGTGTGTTGGTCTGTATACAAGTGCATGAGGAAGGATATGAGTGTGTGTGTACACCAGCTATATATATTTCGGTCCTACTAAACAGGCTAAGATTCTTTTATACTCTTGACACTATTAAATGAAGCTAATATTTCTCACCCTGAGACCCCAGCACATCAAATGATTAAGAAAACAAGATCAAGGTATATTAGAGATATAGCTGAGGTGAGTGGAAGAGTTTGAAAGTCAATGGGGTAAGAAGACTCCCTGGAGGGATGTGTATCACAAGTGGTCAAAAGGGTGTGTTCAAAGATGCACAAAAATGCACAGAGAGCAGATGCAGAGAACTCAGAGAAGGCATGTCCCCAGAAATTTTATTATATAAACATAGTTGGTCAGTTCCTAATTGCCATCATATAACCCCCTGGAATACAATTAGAAGGGAGCCTTCTCTCCAAGAGTGGAAGAAAAGTGTTGTGTTGTATGTGCATCACACAGCAGCTTTGTTTGAGTGGCTTTGTGCTTTATTTATCATAACAATGAACAATACAGATCATAAGAATATGCTAGAGCCTCTAAACAAAAAATAATGTTGATGTTGAAAAGAGAAGAAAGGCCCCTTCTTTTAACAAGAATTAGATGTTTTAAATGTTTAGATTTTACAGCATTGCCTCCACAGCTTGACCACACTAGCTATACTGAGTTCCTTCTCAGATTCCCGTCCTTACCAAACAGTGTGAGTTCTCCCCACCAACCATTTTCTCTCAAGTAGAACTGACATGGCCCAGTCACCTCACTGCTGCTATTGCTGCTGCTTCTCCTTACTGTGTGGAATTAATAGCAAGTGGTGTGGTGTTGTGGACACAAGTGTATATAGGTGGCTTGCAGGATCAGTGCAGCAAGACTGCCCTTCTCTGTTGTCAGGTTCCATGGAAGGCTACTCCTAGTCCCCAGCCCTGGTCCACATGCAGAGCCACTTCTCAGGGTCAGTCAGCCCCAGTCTCTGCCCCCTTTCTTTGTCTTGTATGTGAGGACTGGGGAAGTGTTCCTTTTAAAACACAGTCTGGTTTCTCCCCTGCTTTGGACAGTACAGCTAAAACCTTACTGTACCACCTTTTAGAGAGCACATGGAAGCAAAGCTTTGACTTCAATGGCCACTTACAGCGACTCTTACTGTCACTTTCCTGACAGTTTTACTCAGAGAAAATAAGGCTTCCCGATGCACATAGAGGTAGAAAAGAAAAGAAACCTACACAGATCCCTGCCATTCTTAAAGGAAAAACACAATTTTAGTTTTACTTTTTAAATTGCTGGGGGGGGGGCAGTTAAAATGAAATGTTTAGAATTTTAAAACTGTGGTGTTCCTTAGTATTTCGGATTTCAAATTCTTGCAGGGTAAATTAAATTTAAGAAGACAGTGAAGTTGGTGTAGGGCAAATGCTTCCCCACTGGCCCACACATCCCGCCCGTGGCACTGGGAGAAGCTTGCCAAGTGAATGGGTCAGTTCATGAAGGACTTCACACTGCTCACTAGAGCTGTTTGATTTTTATCTTGTAACCCTTTGCCAAAGGGGGAAGCAAATGAAAGATTTTAAGCAGAATTTTAGTTTTAAAAGATCACTGAGTAGGCAGTATTGTTGAAAGTGGGGGGGAGAAGAACCTGGAAAGAAGAGCTGGTTTCTGGTGTTTCTGCTGTCTAGGCAAAGATGTGGAGGACCCTCGCTAAGATATCAAAAAGTGGGGATGGAGAGGAAATGGAAGAGTGAGGAGAGGAGTCAGGGATGTGCTGTGAATGAGCTAGCCAGAGGGTATTGAAGACAGTCCACCTAGTAGACTGACTCAGAACTCCTCAATGACTTCTAAGCATGGGTAAATAAAAAGAAGCCAGTCTGAAGAGACAGTGTTTAGTTTTAGGCATATCCCATTAGATCTGTTTATCTGAAGTAGTCAAAAGTTTTTTTGTTTTTGAAAAGAAAAATGGTGCTCTTGTGTAATTGTAGCACTCTGGAGGCCGAGGGCCAGATTCTGAATTTGGACTATGCATAGCTAGCTCTGTCTCACAAAGCAGATGTTGATGTTTAATGCTTTTCACTGTGAAACATTCCTGATGATTTTGTTTGCAACTAGCAGGGGCTGGAAAGGTTGCTCGCTCAATGGTTAGGACATGTGTTGCTCTTGCAACAAGTTCCCAACCCCACAAGATAGCTCACAACCATCTACAATTCCAGTTCCAAGGGACCCAACACTCTCTTCTGACATCTGCAGTCACCAGCTATGCAGAAAAAAAGTCATTCATGTAGAATAAAAGTCTAAGCAAATTAAAATCTAAATAACACAGTGGTTCTCAACCTTTGGAATGCTGTGACCCTTTAAAACAGTTCTGGGTACCTGTATGTGGGTGTAGCTGCATGTGGGCAGGCGCACCTGGAGACAGAGGAGCAGTGTCCTGGTTCTTAAGACTATCAGAAATACATTTTCTGATGGTCTTATTTCTGATAGTCTTAGGTGACCCCTGTGAAAGGGTCCTTCAACCCCCCAGATTGAGAACCTTTGATCTAACATAATTATTCTTTCTATAATTTTCTTGAATGTAATAGTTAGTTTAAACAAAGCACATACTCTTTTTTTAATCTTTTGTTCTTCCCCAGTTTATTTGTATAGATTTACAGAGAAATTGCCTTTCAAGTAGATTTTTTTTCTTTTTTATTTAAAAGGTTTTTTTGCCTTTTTTTTTAATGTTCCAATCCCAGTTCCCCCTCTCTCCTCTCCTGCCCCCCCCCACTTCCCTCTCCCACCTCCCATCTGCTCCTCCGACAGGGTAAGGCCTCCCCTAGGAAGCCTACTAAATCTGTCCCACCATCTAGTTGAGACAGGACCAAGGTACCTCCCAACCCCCCACGCCCCTGTGTCCAGGCTGAACAAGGCGTCTCTCCATACAGAACGGGCTCCACTAAGTCAGTTGTGCATTAGAGCTAGATCTTAGACCCACTGCCAGTGGCCTCATATATTGTCCCGGCCGCACCATTGCCACCTATGTTACTAGATCTTAGAGTCTCTGCCAGTGGCCTCATATATTGTCCCGGCCGCACCATTGCCACCTATGTTAAGGAAGTCTAGTTCGGTCTTATGCAGGTTCCCCAAAAACATTTTTTTTTCATTGTACATACCAACCCCAGTTCCCCATCCCTCTTCTTCTCCCACCCCACCCCCACCTTCCCTGCTTCCCACCCCCATCCACTCCTCAGAGGTGGGAAGGCCTTCCTTGGGGAGGCAACAAAGTCTGGCATACCACGTTGAGGTAGGACCAAGCCCCTCTCCCTGTATCAAGGCTGAGCAAGGTATCCCACCATAGAGAATGGGTTCCAAAAAGCCAGCTCATGCTCCAGGGATGGAATATCTGGGTAAACAATCAAGTAGATTTTCTAAGAATAATTTTGGAACAGGTCCTTACACTATTGAAAATTAAGCAGTTTTTAAAGCTTTTCTGTAGACACTAATAGGAAAAAGCAATACATGACTACAATGGACGGACATCATTCAAAGCAAAGTCTATTTCCCTTCCACCTGGAGTTGTATGCTTAACCATATATTTTTATGTTTGTGCCCAATATCTCAAAGTTGTTGGAGTCAGTGAAGCCTATGAGGATGCTGCCAATTGTCTGTGGTTGCTGACTAACTCGAAGCCTTGTGCGAACTGTAAGTCTCCAATACAGAAGAATGAAGGTTGCAATCATATGCAGTGTGCCAAGGTGAGACGCTAACATGCGCTTCCATGCTTTGTGATTACGGACTTCATTAGCTTGTACCACAAAACAAGATGCTACTGTGCTAAGTAAAACCATCCACCAAATAAATAAGTCAGTTCATTACTCCATTGAAAATTAAAATGCCTTCAGAGGTCCACTTGGCCAAAACCTTTAAGGGATTGAAAGTTTGTCTGTGCTCTCCTGATTTCATTGTGAAAAAAGAAGCTACCTATGTGTGTGTTTGATTTTTTTTAATCTTGGAATTAGGTTAATATTTTATTGACTCATGCCTCTTTCAGTGTTTTGTTTTAAAATTGTAATAATGCTCTCATTTTTCCCTTTATTAGAAGGACCAGCTATGTTTTAAGTGGTATTTTAAGATATTAAGACAATGTAATTTTTTTTCATTTAGAATGTGAAAGAAATTAAAAGTTAGGACTAAAAAATATGTTAACATTGCTCTAAGATTTACTTGATTTTTTTAATCCGAAAGCCATTATCATTGTATTCCAATTTTCAAAAAAAAAATAGAAATTACAGAATTATTTTACAAGTTTGCATTACAATAAAATTAATGTAAAGAAATGTACTTTTTGAGGCAGCACTAATTCCCTAAGGGAGAGAAGGGGTGGAAAAAAAAACCTATTGTAAAAACTCAAAGGTACTTATTAGTTCGGCTAAGAACTGAACAAAATTATTTTCTCTTAATTATGGTCTCATCCCCAACTCCATATTTGGTTTGGGTCTTAGAAAATGTGATGTAGATTTCCTAAATGTGCACAGAAGTATATATTTACCACTGAAAGCCAGCGGTTGGCTGCTGGGGTAGACTCCAGTCTTACCTTTCTGTCCTTCATGGCCCGGCAGTAAGTACTTGATAAATACGGGTAACTGGAGGAACGTTTTCATCAACTAATCAGACTGATAATACAAAGGTACTAACATAAACAGATGTTGCTTAAGATTCTCCAGGGCTTAAAACATGTATTTACAAGACCTATAAATGTAAGAACCTTATTTAGTATGCCTTTTGAATTGTTCAGATTGAAAATATAAACTGAGTTGGCTGTGTTACCACATGGCTTTAACCCCAGCATTCTGTAGGCAAAGGCAGGCAGATCTTCAAGACCAGCCTGCTCCACACAGCAAGCCCTAGACCAGTTAGAGTTACACAGTGAGACCATGTCTCCTGAAAGGAAGAAAATAAGCTGAAAAGTGGCACTCTTATTTTGACATAGAAAACTTACCTAGATGATACGCAGTGCCCACAGTTCAAATATGCAAATAAAACATGTCATGAAATGTGGAATCTATGCTGTAGCTCAGACACCTTCACCATCTGCCTAGGCTTTTGATGCTTCGGTGTTGATTATGATTAATAGACAGTTTGCATTATCTGAAATCCAATGTGTTAAACATTTTTTTAAAATGGCATGTTTACTTGTCTGAAAATAATCTAATTTATTTTAAAAAAAAACTATTTTCATTTCCCCCTAGAAAATTAATTTGTTTTTGCACTTTTAATTAGAATACTGTATCACAGCCTCACCCACACCACCCCAGCCCTTTTCTTCTCTAGTTCCTCCATGATTTGGGAGTAGAATTCAGGAGGCCCTGGTGCCTAAGGGATCCACTGAGCATCCTTCTTCGACTCCAGGCTCCTCCTGTTGTCCCTGCTTGAATTCTGTGTCACCTGGGACCTTTGGCCCCTGTTTGGAGAGGAAAGAGCTAGAGGCTCTCAGCTGAGGATCACTAGCTCCCCTCCTCAACCCTCAGGAACACCCTGACTGTCTACTGGCTGAGGAGTCCTGCTAGCCAGCTGCTGTTAGGCACCTGCCACCATCCAACGCCTCTTGGTGTCTAAGATTCAATATTAGGAAGCTGGAAAGGTGGGTCAGAAATTAAGAGTGTTCACTGTGCAATAATGAAGACTGGGCTCCAGATCCCAGCACCATGTAACAAGCCAGGCATCCTGCAAATGCCTGTAACTCCAGCTCCAGGGTATCCAACAAATAAACAAAACAAGTACTTTTTTTAATTTACTCTCTTCTCATACAGTACATCCCAACTGCACCCTGCCCTCCTTCCACTCCTTCTAGGCCCCCTCACATCCCCTCTCCCCCACATCCACTGCTTTGCCAGAAAAGAGCAAGCTTCCCAGTGATAGATACCAACCAAGCATGGCCTAACAAGCTGCAATGAGACAAGTCACAAACCCATCAAGGCTGGATGATACAACCCAGGAGGAGGAAAAGGGTGTCAAGAGCGGGCAAAAGAGACAGAGATACCTCACTCTCATTTTTAGGAGTCCCACAAACACCCCCAGTAAACACACGCAGCATGTATGCAGACCCATGCTTCATGGTTTCGCTCCTGTCTCTGTGATCCTATGCAAGCTCTGATGAGTTGACTCTGTGGACCATGTTCTTTCTCGTAGTGTCCTTGATCCCTCTGGCTCCTACAGTTCTTCCTCCACTCTTTTGCAGGATTCCCCAAGCTCTGAGGGAGGGACCTGATGAAGATCTCTAGTTTGGGCTCTCTTGCCACCTAATAATGTTTGGCTGTGGGTCAGTGCATCCGCTCTCATCAGCTGCCTAAGGAAGCCTCTCAATGAGTATAGCAGAATATCACTAGGAATCATTTCATTTTTTTTATTTGCCAGTCCTGTTTGATTCTACCTTGGGTCTCTAGGCTATCCAACCTCCAGTTCTTGGCTACCCAGACAGTGTCAGGCATGGGTTCCCTCTCACAGCATGGGCCTCAAGGTTGTCCAGACATTGGTTGCCACTCCCACAAGCTCTGAACCACCCTTGCCCCAGGACAGACTGTAGGTTGAAGGTACTATGGCTGGGTTGGTGTTCCAGTCCCACTACTGGAAGCCTTCCTGGTGAGTCATTGCTAGAGTCACCATCGTAGATTCCAGGGAGTTTCCACTGCACTAAGTTTCCATATCCCCCCCCCAAGTGTGCCCCAATTCCAGTAGTCTGTCCCCATACTCTCTCCCTCCAGCCCTTCCCCCCTCACCTGATTCCTCCTCTTCCCATCTCCACCCATCCCCCCAATCCAACAGCCAACAAAAATTCCCGCAGCTTGTTTTTCTGCATCTGTGTAAACCTAATACAGATATTCATATTGCAAATCTGAGCGAGCTTAATTGGGAAAACTTTAAAAAACAACAGTAGTGAAGAAGTAGCCTTGTAAGATTATATGCTGTGAAGCCTCAATCGTTGAAAGCCAATGATACTGGCATGTAAATACATAGGGTATAAAACAGAATAGAAAGCAAGCCTAGGAAGTAAATGAATACATAGGAATTTAATGTGGTAATGGCAATGTATAACCAGTGGAAAAACATGAAGTATTTAGAACATGGTACTGTGATAACTGGACAGCTCTAAAGTTGAGTTCATACTGGAGAAGATACACCCAAGATTTCAATGTTTAAACAGTAAGCAAACCACTACTAGAAGCCCTGATAAAAGTATCAGAAGACTCTAGACTTGGAACCAGAAGATCTTTTTGACACAGAACCCATAAGCATACAAAGATGAATTTTCATATTATACTTTTGCCATTATCTCCTAATTATGGTCTACTTAATGAGCGAATTTTTAATTATTACGTGGAGATGACTGCATGTATGTTTTCTTTTACAGTGCAAGTATGACTTCTGCTGGATCTGCCTAGAAGAATGGAAGAAACACAGTTCTTCCACTGGCGGCTATTACAGATGTACTCGCTATGAAGTCATTCAGCATGTGGAGGAGCAATCCAAGGAAATGACAGTGGAGGTAATGCCCACTGACACGGCCTGTGTGTCTAAGCTGCTGTTGGCGGGATTGGCCTGTCTTCTTTCCTTTCTTCATCGTGATGCGGCATTCATTCCATTAATACACTTTAGAGTGAGTGCCCTTTGAACAAAAGTGCTGTCAACTTAGAACTTCTTCCTTTAAATTTTTCCTTTTTGATTTTAATGAAGATATAAAAAATCCATTTCCAGACTGTCTTTGTAAAGATTTAAAACCAATTTTAACATAATATCAGCAATACAGTATTATAGCATACATGTCTTTTTTGTCTTTCCAATCAGGCCCAAAGAGGGACTGAAACCGCTTTTCTTTTAAATCAGTTTGTTATGTGAGCGATTGTTTTGCCTGGATATATGTCAGCACCATGTGCACACCTGCCTGGTGCTCAGATCACCTAGGACTAGAGTTAAAGACAGTGGAAAACTCCTATTTGGGTGCTGGGAATTGAACCTGGATCCTCTGGAAAAAGAGGCAGTACTCTTAATCACTGAGCCATCTCTCCAGTCTCCTGGTCTAGACAGCTTAAACAACAGAAACTTGTCTTTCTCCATTGTAGTGACTGTGAAGTCTGAGAACAAAGTCCCTCCTGACTGGTTCTTGGTGAGGGTGCTCATCTTGTTCTGCCAGTGGGTCCCCACTTTCTGGTCTCTACCATGATGACTGGGAAATAGATCAAGAGATCTATTGTGTCCCTTCCTTAACTTATCTAGGCAGCCTTTGCATTAAGGTAGAGCTATAATAATGGCCTCACTTAACCAATCACCTCTTCATAGGTCCTGTCTCCACATACAAGTACATTTTGAGTTAGGGCTTCAAGGTGAACTTTGAAGGGATACAAATCTATGTATAGCAGTGAACTGAAGATGTGAAATTAGGTGCTCATTGTTTTATCACCGAGAATACAAATAGGCGCCTTTAAAATGTATAGGTCCTTATATCCTAGCAGCAAAATAGTAAACACATCTTCATGCGTACCACCCATTACTAATAATACATTAGTCCCTCTAAAATCAATTTTAGTGATGGTTTTAATAAAAGTCATTTATGTACTTTTTTTCCTAGGCTGAGAAGAAACATAAACGGTTTCAGGAACTTGACAGATTTATGCATTATTACACAAGATATAAAAACCATGAGCATAGTTATCAGGTACGTACCAAATCATTACAGATGAGCTAAAACACTCACTCCTTTAATCTCAGCACTTGGGAGTCAGGGGCAGATGGATCTCTGTGACTGCAAGGCCAGCCTGTTCTACAGAACAGAGCAAGTTTCAAGACAGCAAGTGCTACACAGTGAGACCCTACCATAAAAATAAATAAATAAGATTATTTAAATTATGTATTTCTGTTTCTTTAGTTAGAACAACGCCTTCTTAAAACAGCCAAAGAAAAGATGGAACAATTGAGTAGAGCTCTCAAAGAAAGTAAGTACTGTTGTGTGTGTGTGTGTGTGTGTGTTTGCTTTCTAAGTCAATTCAGTGGCAATGGTAGATGGGCAGGCCCCTAAAGGAGGACAGTGGATCCATGAGCTGCTTCCAGCCCTGTCCTATATTCTCTTAAGGCCGGAGTGCACGCTAGCATATGAATTGTGTCTACCAGACTCCTCCTAATGCAGCCTTTGCTGTTACCAGACAAAACCACACCATAGTTTTGCTTTCTCTGTGCCACAGCTGGTGCTCTAGTGTTGGCAAAACTGAATGGGTCCTAAAGGGCGTCCAGGAGGAGCAGGGTATACATGCTGCCCAGCCATCACATAACCAAGTACCCAGAGCTGCTTCAGGCATCCTATAGAGTTTGGGAGGAGTTGAGCTCAAGGAGCAAAGCCTTGAGAGGGCCTAACTTGTGAGTTCCAAACTGAAAGGTAGAGGGAAAATAATTCTAAATACAGGTGGAGTGTTGGTCATCATTAGGACACCGTATCCACTGACTACACAGGGCTTAAGTTCTAGAATGCTTGTTTTTGAAGAACTAATAGTTTATATATTAGAAGTACATTTCAAACATAAAACTGTGATCTCTTACATTTGTCTCAGTTCATAAAGTAATTTGCATACATACTCTTTTCTGTGAAAATAGTTTTCTAAAAAGACAGTAAAAAAAGTTAAAAGTTAATTAGTGTGGGGGCCGGTGCCACTATGGCCTGGTATCCCTGTTAATTATTAGTCTGTAAACTTTAGAGGTTACATGACTCTACTGTACTAATACAAACTCTAGAAATGTCTATGCGAGGCTGGAAGGAAGTCTCAGAGATGTGCATTTCCCCGTGTTTAGAACTGTGCCTGACATACAATAAACATTCAGTAAGTGCAAATTATTACATTTATTCATATTAGAGACTTCCAGGCATCATAGTAAAGCTGAAAACTGAAAGTGAAACAGTCTGCTTCTTAGACATCTCGTGTTATTATAATGAAAGGCAAGGGGTGTTCAGTTCCCTTTGCTTTTTATACCCTACTACAGATGCTACCTAGAGACATAGTGTACATGTAACAGGCTTTCTCTTAGGCCACCAACACGCTCCCAAATTATGACATGGGAACTTATCAATTATGAAGGCTTGGCCTTATCTTATGCTTGTCCCACTAGCTCTTAAAACTTAAATTAACTTGTCTTTCTTCATCTATGTTTTTGCCTTGGGGCTTTTTACCTTTTTTCTTTCTGTGTGTCTTACTCTGGCTGGCTGGCTGGCAGCCACCTGACTAAGTGGCCCCAGGTGTCTCCCTCTTTTCTCCCTCGTTCTCTTTCTCTTGAGCCTAGATTCCTCCACCTTATTCTCTCAGTCCACCAGCCCCGCCTATCCCTCTCCTGCTAGTTATTGGGCATTCCACTTTTATTAGACCTTAGCAGGCAGAGCAACACATCTTTACATCGTTAAACAGATGCACCATAAACAAATGTAACGCATCTTTGCCTAGGTAAACAAATATCCCACAACATGTATACAGATACATTAGAGTGTTCCATGTCAGTTTGTACATGCATATGTAGTATCTTCCTAAAAGTATGCTGAATTTGATTTCCAGACGTACTTCAATTTGGATTCTGCAGCTTAATTTCTTTTTATTTATAGTTTAAAAATAGAATGTTAAGATGATATCTCAGTGTTACTTAATGAAGACAACTTCTTCTCTCCTCATCCTTACTCTTCCTTCTTTTTTACTCCCTGGGGGTTTTTACCTTTAGTTAGCCAGTTCCTGATTTATCTTTTTCATTATGATACTGCTTTTGCAGAGAAATAATTATAATTAGTTTTTTTTTTTTTTTTAAGCAAGCAACTTAACAAAAGCATTTGTACAAATTCTTCAGCAGCCAAATTCTTGTCAGAGATAATTTGGCCATTTTTATAAAGCACCACCTTTGGGTGGATCTAAAGCTGTACTGGCTCCTGGTCATATTAGAAGAATAGACTCTGGGGAAAAAATATGCGTATTCATGGCTCCTGGGATGCAGGGGCCTGTGCCCTTCTCCATGAGTGTTTGACTGGGCTTTTAGTTCAGTCCAAGTACGCATTTGCACAAACATTCGCTGTGTTCCATTGCTTTGCAGCTGAAGGCGGCTGTCCAGATACCACTTTCATCGAAGATGCAGTGCACGTTCTCCTAAAAACTCGACGCATCCTCAAGTGTTCTTATCCATATGGATTCTTCTTAGAACCTAAAAGCACAAAGAAAGAAATATTTGAACTAATGCAAGTAAGATGCCAATTTAAATTATGTTAACTTCAAGTGTGAGTAGTAAAACAGTCTTGTTTTATTTTTAAATGTCTTTAAATAAAGGAAAGATTACCAGAATGAACTAAGTTTTCTTTGTGTTTAAATTTGTCAGTGTGAATGAGTTCTGAGATGTGTAACATTTCTACCACATGAGTTTATTTCAAACTGGCCAAGGTAGAATGTGTAGAATGTGGCTCATTTTTTTATTTCATCTCTAGAGATGCATACTTAAATGGAAAGTTAATCTTTGCCATTTTATTTCAGAAGTACAACTCACAATGTCACATATTTAAAACAAAAACTCCTAAGCTAGTCACTATACCTCACCAAACTCATTGCATCATCCTCGTAGTTGGAAGCCACCACAGTTCTCTGTCGATTTTCATCCTATAAGTTTTAAACTGCTCTCCAGTGATTTATATTCTACATTTCTTTCAAGGCCACAGTGGTATTGCCTTGTCTTAGATTCCTTCAGAATTCATGCCTTGCAGCAGCCGTGCACCAGCATATACAGTGCCCTGAGTGTGCTGCACAGTGACAAATCCCTTCTAAGTGGGGCCCTCCTCCAGTCCTTGATGATTCCTACCTACTGCCTTGTTATAAGTGCTTATCAAATGGATGCCTCCTATTTGCATTTATGGTGACCTGTAATACCATCCTTTCGTAACCCTAAAAACATACAAAGTAAAAAGCATTTAAATGGGGCCAGGCGGTGGTGGCACACGCCTTTAATCCCAGCACTTGGAGGCAGAGGCAGGCAGACCTCTGTGAGCTCGAGACTAGCCTGGTCTACAAGGAGCTAATTCCAGGACAGCCTCCAAAGCCACAGAGAAACCCTGTCTTGAAAAACCAAAGAAAAAAGCATGTTAAATGGGAAATTATTTCAAAATTTAATTTCTGACTTCAAAAGAATATGACTTGGCTGAGAAACCAGATATGCTTTGTATCTGTTTACTGACCCATTTAACTTGTACCTCTTGTTTCTCCTTCTTTCTACAGACAGACCTAGAAATGGTCACTGAAGACCTTGCCCAAAAAGTCAATAGGCCTTATCTCCGTACCCCCCGCCACAAGATCATCAGAGCAGCGTGCCTTGTGCAGCAGAAAAGGCAGGAATTCCTGGCGTCTGTAGCTCGGGGAGTTGCTCCTGCAGACTCACCAGATGCTCCCAGACGCAGGTAAAATTTGTGCACTATACAAACCTCGCTGGCTTGAGCCCACAGTGCCAGGACTTTTTAAAAAGACAGATGGCATTCATGTTTTTGGGAGTTACTTATACCTAGAATATGGATAGCTGATAAGAATATGTTAGATTCTTTTTAATGATACTGTCTTCTTAGTACAATTTTTTTTTTTAGAATGATTTTGCTTGTCCTTCACTGTGCAAGCTCTCCAGACTAAATTAGGCTAAATTAATTTCACATATCAGAATTCATACCCAGAGTATTCTGACATATCATTTCAAATTTAATATATGTAGTAACTTGGGAATGATAAGCATCTTAGGGTGTAGAATTTGGAATCTTTGCCAGCTTGCTATGTTCAAATTTGTATTTCAGTGTTATAAAATGATAAAGGAAATTAAAAACCTGCTGTTTGTAAGACTACTTAAGTGGTCTGGATTCATCCCTTAAAGAGAAGCTGGTTTGGTTATTTTATTTTACATCATACTTCTATTGCTTCTGCCACAGTAAATTGAAGCATTTTTCTTATAGCACTAGAAAGTCATTTGTTCTCATCTTTACAGAAATATTTATGGGTAATTATCTTTTATACTTATGAAATGAAAATGAAAGCAATCAGAATACTTTTATGTAACATGGTCATTTTTATTTTCTCCATCATTTTGCGCAAGTGTAAAGCAACTTAGGATTTGAGAAAATAATGGAAGTAATTATATTTTAATAGTTGGATCTGTGTTGGTTTGGCAAGTTATAAGCAGATAAGCAGTTTAAAGGTAATATTCAATGGGTAAGAGTCTGGTTGTATACTTGCAGTACTGATAGTGAATCAAACAGTATGTCTAATTTTTTTGTAGCTTTGCCGGTGGAACATGGGACTGGGAATATTTAGGATTTGCATCACCTGAGGTAACTTTTTCTGGGGCTTGGGGTTACCTTCCTGGTTTTTCTTCGTGCAACCCTGCTTGCATTTGCACCCTCACCTAATCTAAATCCTCTGGGATCAGTAATGCCTTCTCTTTCTTTTGTAGCAGAAATGCCTTGGCAGAGCCTGCATTCGGCTCTTTCTTATATTGGAGTGTAACAGTACATTCCTCTTTCACTGCTATTAATTACTAAATGGAATTTAGTGAATTTTACAGCATAAATATTTGGAACATCTTCTAATTTGTTAATAGAGATGTAAATTCTGTTTATTAGAAATGTGTGGTTTTGGGTGGCTGTTTGAGGTGACCCTGGTCTACAGAACAAGTTCCAGGACAGCTAGGGCTATGCAGGGAAACCCTGTTGAGAGAGAGAGAGAGAGAGAGAGAGAGAGAGAGAGAGAGAGAGAGAGAGAGAGAGAGAGAGAGAGAGAGATATATGTTGTAATGTTCTTTTAGTCTAAACATCTGGAAAATCTAAATGAGTTTCTTGAGGTTACTGCTGCTACCTGAGATAAATTTCCAGAGTGGAAGCCTCCCAGGATTGATGTCTGTGCTGAGAAATGTTCTGGTTTCTGCTGCCTTTGAACTCCAGACTCTGCTTAGTTTCTTAGTGAAAAATCTTTCTCCTTTTTGGGTTGGCAGGGGGCGCTGGTTTAGAGACAGGGTTTCCCTGTGTATAACCCTGGCTGTCCTAGAACTTGCTCTGTAGACCAGGCTAGTCTTGAACTCAGATCCACCTGCCTCTGTCTCCTGTGTGCTGGGATTAAAGGCACATGCTACAACACCTGGCTTGATGAAACATGTAAAACATGGAAACTGTAGAGCAGTTGGTACTCTAAATAAAAAGAAGACCTAGTAAAAATCTTGGTCAGGTAGCTTTCTTCTCATATTAAAATCACCACTGCCACTGTTGTATCTGATTTTAAAACAGTTTTAACAAGTCTTTCAATTTCTGTTTTCCTTTGTGCTTTATAAAATATGATAATCCTTGAAGGTGATTCTTACAAGGAGGAGGACAGGTGGTGGAACTTTTGCTGATCATTGTTGCCCATTTGTTTGAAACTAAAAGACCATGAAAGTAGTTACTATCCTGCGATGCCTGTGGCTGTGTAAACCAGAGGCTCTGGTCTCAGCTGCTGAGGACACTTGCAGTCTCCTGGAAGCTTTTCTTTTTTCCTTTCTTTCTTTCTTTCTTTCTTTCTTTCTTTTTTTTTTTTTTTTTTTTTTTTTTGATGCAAACTGCACAGGCTTTATTGTTGTTTAGCGAGCTAACCCCATGTTAGCTCGGGTCTTTCATCCATCCACCATGGCGGATGGCTACAAAAGACAGCTCGAAGAGTCTGCCTAGAGATCTTATAGGGCAACGTAAGGGGAGTATCTAGGGGTACGCACAGGCTCAGGATTGGTGTGGCTCCCGGCTTTGAGGGGCTGCCCCGTGTTGATTGGTCAACTGGTTGTTATGCCCATAGGCCCTCCCAGGGTGGTTGCTATGCTCTGCGAGTCATTGCTGTGCACTTGTTCCTGGAAGCTTTTCTATTTAGATATATGCAAGAAAATAGTGACACGAGGTTGTGCTTTGAGCACATAAGATAATTTTAAATACAACTAAGTTGTAAAAAATAATTAGTATGTAATAAATAACAGCATATTTATTATAAATCAATTCTTTATAAGAACAAAATTAAATTCTTTAATTTACCCGATTATGGGATTACTATTTTGGTGTCCCCTCATTACAGTTTGGGGAATATAGAAGTTTTCCACCTTAAAAATAAACTTTATTCATTAAATCTTTAACACAATTTAGCAAAAATAAACCCTTTCTCAGTTCACAGTCATTTGTATATCAAGTAGTAGTGGTTTATGTTACTCAGAATAGCTTTGTACTGCATTGGATCTTCCCCACGTTAAGCACGTCCTCCTTGAGTAGGAGCCTTTAGTTGAGGTAAAACTTGCCTGCCATCTTTGTCTAAGAAATGTGGTGTCTACACTAATCCTGTGAGCCATGATGACACTGCAGTAAGTCTTCCAATCTGAAAGCATAAGTCTGCAGGCAGAGGAAGTGATGCCCTAGCTCAGTAAGAAGTGTTAAAGGATCTATGTGATCCGTCGGGTTGCTTCACTTGTTGACTTCTATTTAAACACATAGGTATGAGTTTACATAAATTTAAGAATGAGCTAGGGCTGTAGCTGGTGATAGAGTGTTGGCTTATCGTGTCCTGCATTCAATTTCCAGCCACATAGATAGGATGGATGGATGGATGGATGGATGGATGGATGGATGGATGGATGGATGGATGGATGATAAAGATAGACTTTACCTAACCTGGTTTCTCCTACTACTTTTACCACAGCACATTGAGTCCTCTAAAGTGGGATAATCATAACCCTGAGGATCTTCATGTTTAGCCCTAGGAGATTCAACAGTGCTTCTCAAAACTCTGCTGCTATACATCCTGGCCTCCCTTTGACTCTCATTCCCCTGTTTCTAAAATCTGTAGCAGATACTCTTAGGCTTTGGAAGAACAAACCTACTGGAAACTATTACCATAAATGTAAAACAAACATTTGGATATATGTTTTTAGTCTGTCTTCTTCCAGATGCTAAGGAGTAAATACTCCTCTGTTGCAATAAAGCTGGGCATTGGCTAATGAGAAAAGGGAACTCGGTGATATATTTGAAAGCCATCGTGTGACATATTTGTTTTCAGCTAGTCTTGTGACTTGTGAATTGATGTGTAGTAGTCGCAAAGACAGCTCGGTTGTCGGGCGTTACTTAACAATATGTCTATCGTCTGTTGTTCCTGCTGCTGTTCCCTGTCCTCTTCGTCCCCACCCATACTCTTTGCATATCTCAGAGTCACTTAAAACTGAACCCCAAGAGAACCTAACACCATTAGTAAGATGGTTGTGATACCAGTTGTAATTTTAGATAACAAGATCCTTGAAGTAACAGTTTACATCTAGCTCTGGAGCTTGCAGGTATTCCCAGTAGACACACCTGTGACTGTTAGAAGTTTTGCATTTTGCTTTCTGCCATTTTTATTTCCTTGGCTTGGCTAAACTTGGAAGTTTCCTTTTCTAAAGCAAGTGATTTTATAGTATGTATATAAAATCACACTTTTTTTTTCCTCCTGGAAGAAATTGTGGCTGTTTTGTTTTATTTGCACTTTTACAATTTGCATGCTCTCCTGTATTCTATAACCTTTGGTTTATGCAGGAATATGCTGAATTTCAGTATCGGAGGAGGCACAGACAGCAGCGCCGTCGAGGAGACGTGCACAGCCTGCTCAGTAACCCGACAGACCCTGATGGGGAACCAAGCGAAAGCACTTTTGGTGAGCTCCCGTGCTGGCGAGTATCATTTAGTCTCAAGTTTATCTTTAAAACTGGCTGTCGTCAGGGTTTGTCAGTTTGTAATTTGGATTCACCATAGATGTAGAGATTCCTCTGTTGATGTAGGATTTAAAACAAACAAACAAACATGGAGTTGAGGTCTGAAGTAGGAACATTCTAGGTTTATCATATCCGTCTCTGGTGTGTAACTTTAATCAAGGCACTGACCATCTCTGTCTTCAGTTACCTCATTCTAAAGTGAGCATCAGTGAGGCAATGCATGAAAGCACTGTGAGCGGTCAGAAAGTGGAAGCTCTTGATACCATTACCACATGCCTCGAACAGTTTAACTGCACTCTTAGACAAGGGGAGAGGCATCCTACCAGATTAGAAAGCAAAGAATAAAAGAGTCAAGTATCCTAAGGAATCAGGGCCTTAGCTTTCCTGAAGCATTCTTAAAAACAGGACTGTTTTGCTTATTTGATTTTTTAAATGTTAAAGTTTTCATGAAACATGCCTAGTCTGTAATATTAGGATCAGTTGGACTATATATAGATTGGTTCTTGAGGCTATTATAATTCCAGAACTCTTTAATTTTATGAAATCTGAAGACAAAAATACTGAAATTCATTGTGACTTAGGAAAAAGAAATAGACAGTATAACCTACCTCAATGAAAGTCAGAGAGTGCAAGCAAGAACCTAGAAAATGCTCACAGATTTGAGATGGTCATACTAGATATCTGTTACTGCTTTCAACCATCAAACCTGCTGAACAGTGCAGGAAATAGAGTGGATGTAAGTGTGAGCCCGAGTTTTCACTGGCACTGAGAAAGACCTGCCAGTTTATAGGCATGTGGAGACAGTGGGGTCTGCTTGTCACTAAATTACCTGTGCTACCTATTGCTTTCAAACAGATATACCGGAAGGTGGCAGTGGTCGCAGGCCTGGAGCATCCGTGGTAAGCTCTGCATCTATGAGTGTGCTGCACAGCTCTTCCCTCCGAGACTACAGCCCTGCCAGTCGCTCTGCAAACCAGGACTCTCTGCAGGTAGCCTTGCTGCCAATGTGGCGCCATGCTTTTCTCCTTCGGTGCTCAGTGACTTTGGGGTTTACTTTTACTGGTTTTCTCTTTCTTCCTTCTGTGGTAGTTTTGTTTTAATGATAGGGCACAAAAATGTTGTTGTATTTCAGGTTTATGTTAGGTATATTTTCCCTTTTAGCAATGACAAGGAGAAAATGGTAAGATTTAAATATGTAAAGTAACTTGTACAATTAGAAGTAGTATTAATTATCTGATAAAGGAAACTGGTGAGATTGGGTTAAGGAATGTTTCCTTTAGTCACATTTTATAGTGGCTTTCTTTTCCATTGCCTCAGGCTCTGAGTTCCTTGGATGAAGACGACCCCAATATACTTCTTGCCATACAGTTGTCACTTCAAGAGTCTGGGCTATCCATGGATGAAGAAACCAGAGACTTCCTTAATAACGAAGCATCCCTAGGAGCCATAGGCACTTCTTTACCTTCTCGGCTGGACTCTGTACCCAGGAGCACAGACAGTCCTCGGGCTGCGCTGAGCAGCTCTGAGCTGCTGGAACTTGGTGATAGCCTCATGAGACTAGGAGCAGACAGTGACCCATTTTCAACTGAGACTTTGAGTTCACGACCTCTCAGTGAGACACGAAGTGATTTCTGTCCCTCTTCCAGTGACCTTGACTCAGCTGGCCAGGACCCCAGTGCCAATGACAATCTTCTTGGCAATATTATGGCTTGGTTTCATGACATGAACCCTCAGAGCATTGCCCTGATTCCTCCAGCAGCAGCCACGGAAATGAGTGCAGAGCCTCAGCTTCCCTGTGTTGGAGCTGCCCCAGAAGGTGTGAGGGGCGTGGGACTGGTGCCACCAGGAGACCCAGTGTCCAAAGACACTGCTGTCCATGAGGGTGAAAGAACCCAGATGGAAGAAAACCCTCTGGAAGAGAGTATTCTGGCCAGGGAAGAGTTGTCTCAAGCTGGTGACAGTAGTAATGAGGCAGACAGCAGAGGGGACGGGCCAGATGCTGCCAGTCCAAGCCCTCAGACCTCAACTGACTGGCTCGAGCAAGTCCATCTAGTGTGAACTGCACATATGTGCTCTCCAGGTGAATCGCAGTACAGGGGTTATGTTAGGTGGAGTATCTTTATAGAGACTTAGATCCACTTAATTTGAACTCGGTTCTAAACCACTGATGTTAGGATTGAGTGCAAAGGTGTTCCCTCCGACGATAGCTTCAGTGTCAATTTTACCCTTACAGAGAATTTCTTTTGTGTTTTTCCCTTTTTAGTGACAAAGAGGAGCAGGAGAAAAGAGTGGAATAAATGGGTTGATGTCCACATTCTGAGAGAATGCAGTGCTCTGTCTAGCCGAGAGTTGGCAGTATTTAAGTTGGCCATTTTTATCAGAAGCTTACTCTGCAATCCTTAGATGGCTTTCCTCTTTTTTTAAAACAGTGAAGTTTTCTTCACTTTAGAAGCTGGGCTGGACAGGTCTGATAACGTGTGTCCTCGTGTCTGTGTTCTCTTCAGGAGCCTCCTCCCCTTGTTGTCCAAGCAGTGTGAGCTGCGGAGTCCCTGCTGCTTCTAGTGCCCGGCTACCATAGTGTGATTGGGTTTTCTTTCCCACATGAATCAAAGATTGCCTCTCATGTCTATTCACAGTCCAATTGTGCCAAACTCTGACCCGGGCGCTGACTAGCGAGGTGTTCAGGTGAGCAGCATCCCAGTGTGCTCCAGGGCAGTGTCAGCGTTGTCGGGAGTAAAAGGTGCCACTCGGTAGCAATGATGTTCCAGAATTTAATGGGCTTTTGTTGCCATGGAGACTGCATTTAAATAAATGTAGCCTGTAGCTTAAGTAAACTAAAGCTAATGCTGCTGTTAAAACAGTTTATTTTAATATTAAAATACAGTTGATTAGCAACAGCGGTGCTGTATTTAAGAGACACTTTATTGGAAGTGCAATCATAGTTCTTTGTTTTCACAATTTTACAGTGCATTCTAATTACTAACGGGTGCAATTACTTTTAATGGTGTTTTATAACATAGAAAAACTGGAGTTTTCATGAGTTACAGTAAATCCCACAGTTATTAAAAAATTCAATACAACATCCTACGCAACATGTTACCGTGCCTTTGCCTAACCTAAATGGATAGTTGCCAGTTAAGTAAGTCAGTAACTCAAATTTCAATGTCTCTTCTGAAGTAACTATGCTATGAATTGCAAAGACCTCCATAAAACCACCCATGGCCTTGCCTTTACAGTAACTATGACAACTAAGTGTTCAGTTTGTTTGCCTAGATAGCAAATGCTGCTGTGTTTGTTCTCTTGTGCAATACTCATCTGCTATGTGATCACTGTTTAGTACTGAAAACTCAACCTCCTAGTTATCAGTGTCCTGCTGTGAAGAAATACTGGTCTTAGTTGTAATTAAGATACAATGGTACAGTGTGTAATTAAAACTAGAGTAAACTGTTGGAATGGCTCTTTTACTTACTATTATTAAAGCTAATATAACATAAGCAAAATAGATCCAAGGAGCACTCCATGTAAGTGCTTTGCCACTATTACCAGAAACCAGAATGTCTATGCTGAAGTCCTAGGCCAGGCAAAAGATGGTTTTTAACATTGATATCCATAATTATTGTTTTCATTACATCTTTCCCAAACCTTCCTTTTGAAATACTCACGTACTTTGACTTCATACGGCCAAGACATTGTACTTGAGTATTTATTGTTCGGGGATATCAAGAGTCCCTAATAGTTTTTATTTCTCTGGGTATCACAACATTGATATGAATCCCTTTAAAGTTAGTGGGGGAAATACTAACTTTGTCTACAGTGTATTACTATATATTAAACTGAAATAGTCAAAGGATTTTTTTAATTTGGATTAATAATATGAACACCATAAAGTTTCTAGACCAGGGTGAACTTTTCCAGTAGAAAACACTTGCATCCCTAGAGGAATTTTGCACAGCCACAGTGAGGAGAGGAAGGGTGCCCTGAGGGGAGGAGGGGTGTTCTGTGGAGAGAAGTGGTACCTGTGGAGAGTAGGAGTGCCTGTGGGGAGGAGGGGTGCCCTGTGGAGAGGAAGGGTGCCCTGTGGGGAGGAAGGGTGCCCTGTGGGGAGGAAGGGTGCCCTGTGGAGAGGAAGGGTGCCCTGTGCAGAGAAGTGGTACCTGTGGGGAGGAGGGGTGCCCTGTGGAGAGAAGTGATACCTGTGGAGAGGAGGAGTGCCTCTGGAGAGAGGAGGGATACCTGTGGAGAGTGGGCATACCCTGTGGAGAGGGTGCCATGGAGAGAAAGGATACCTGTGGAGACCCATGTGAGCTGGGTTCCTGTTTCCTTGCCTTGTGCGGTACCTGTTGTGATGTGCTGGGCTCCTGAGTGTGAAAAATCTATCATTTTCCAGTTTGTATTTCCTTGGTACATATTTAAAAACAACACAGTCATGACTTTCCAATTCAGTAATAAAGTTTGGCAAAGCCTATTTTGTAAACAAGTTAATTTTATAATGTAAAAAAAAAAAGTTAATCTAACCTTGACTTGTTATTTGCACTTTCATAGTCTATACTTGATACATTCCCACTTTATATACAGTAGGAGTCTACAGACCTGTAGATGTTTGGCCAAATGAATGCTGTTAATAATATGTAAAATTCTTTGATTAAACATTTATTACTTAAACTATTTCCATTTTGTCTCATTAAATCATACACTTCATTTTAAACTAACTAGGAAGCAAATTTTGCTTTATATTAAATACCCTCCAGGGTGATGGTATTAATTTGGTTCTGCCATTTAATTGATTAGTGCCTATATTTTTATAGTAGCCCATTTGCTGAATGTTGTATACTCCAAAGATAAATTTGTTTTCACTATATGATACTACATTAAAATTATAAAATTAGGTAAACCTGATTTCATTATATGACAATGTATTAAAGTTATGAATTTAGTGTTCCTTTTCACTTCATTAGTTTTATAAGGAAACTGTTTTCATTTCCTTGAAATCTAATAGAAACACGGAGAAAAAAAGTAATACAGAACTTCAGTATCTGTTTTGTGAAATTGGGAGGAAGAAATGTATGCCATATGAATAAAATGTCTTGCTTCCCACCATGTCATTCTCTGGCTTCCAGTGAGCAGCCCCTGGCAATCCACTTCAGGGTATGTGCTTCAGGTCCAGGACAGCAGCTGGTGCTTCACAGGCTCTGTTGCTGAGTCTCTTAGTGTCATGCCACTATTCACACCTCTCATTGTATGCATCTGAAACAACTTCCAGTGTCCGAATGCGTGCAGAGTCCTTCCTTCAGAGTTGGTAATTGCAGCCACTAGTTTGTTTTACTCTTTGGGCTCTTTGCTCTTTGGCGGTCCCGCCTGCCACCCAGCTCCCAAATAAATCACATGGAGACTTACTATTATTATAAATTCCTGGTCTTGTCTTGGCTTGTTTCTTGCCAGCTTTTCTTAAATTATCCCATCTACCTTTGCCGCTGGGTTTTGTTTTTGTTATTTTTTTTTAACCTTTCTGTATTTCTGTATCTTTTCTTTCCTTATTCTGTGTCTGGCTGGGTGGCTAGCCCCTTCTTTTCTCACTCCTAGATCTCACTTCCCCCCTAGATTTCTCCTATTTATTCTCTCTGCCAGCCATCTCCACCTATCCTTTCTCCTGCCTTGCTATTGGCCGTTAAGCTCTTTATTAGGCCAATCAGGTGTTTTAGACAGGCAAAGTAACACAGCTCCACAGAGTTAAACAAATGCAACAATAAAAGAATGCAACAGGGCCGGGCGGTGGTGGCGCACGTCTTTAATCCCAGCACTCGGGAGGCAGAGGCAGGCGGAGTTCGAGGCCAGCCTGGTCTACAAGAGCTAGTTCCAGGACAGCCTCCAAAGCCACAGAGAAACCCTGTCTCGAAAAACAAAAACAAACAAAAAAATGCAATGCATCTTTGCATCATTAAAAAGTTGCACAGCATAAACAAATGTAACACATTTTAAATTAATATGCCACAACAACTAGTCTCATCTTCATTATTTTTTCAGTCGTATATAACCTGTTGCCTGTCCTCTTAGGAATTAAAACCTGAGACTTGGTGGTGCACGCCTTTAATCCCAGCACTCAGGAGGCAGAGGCAGCGGATCTCTGAGTTCGAGGCCAACCTGGTCTCCAGAGTGAGTGCCAGGATAGGCTCCAAAGCTACACAAAGAAACCCTGTCTCGGAAAAAGAAAGAAAGGAAAAAAAAAAAAAAAAACCTGAAACTTACTAAAGTTTGGTTATTTTAAAATTATTACAGTTAGTCTTGTTAGTCCATGATAGGAGTTGGGCCGGGTGGTGGTGAAGCTGACATGATTGCATAGGGAAAGGCTGGCCCTGCAATCAGATCTTAGAGTCTCCTCTCATTGCAGCGTTGGGCCAGGGCTGTAATCATTGCATCTTTTCCCTAACCACTGTTGCCTTATCGGTTCCTGTAACCTAAACAGGGCCCATAGATGAGGTTTCTGAAAGGCAAAAAGTCTAGGTGGCTCTCACCTAGACTGACATTTGTGACAGTTGTTTTAGCAACAGGAAGTTTTTCAGGTTGTTTGTTTTCTGTTTTTCTTCAGTATAGGCATTGAACCTTGCAATAGTTAGTAAAGAGAGATGACTCTTGTATTGACTCAATTCTGCTTATAATTGATGAGATAGTTTGTTACAAGAGGTTCTTTATCCCAGCTGCCTTTGGGCCCCAAATAAACACATATTAGTTATAAAACTGTTGGCTCGCAACTTATATGTTCAATGTTATATGTTTGCTTGTTTTTGTTGGTTTGGTGCCACTTGAATTTGCTGTTTTGTTGATCTGAGCCTACGCAGGACTCGTGATTTGTAATTTGGACTTCAGGGGGAAATAGACGTATTTTGCCACCCTGAAGGCCCGCCCTGGACGAAAGTCCAAGGGTTGTTTGTAATTTTGGTTTGGGGCACCATTTCTTTGCCTCGGTTTGTCCTGTCTGAAGTCTGTCTGTTTTGCTGTTGGTGTCTGTTAAGCCTGGAGGATTGGAATCGGCTGGGTGACTGAACAGTTGAGCAATAGGTTTGTTATCTGTTATCTGATCTGTTGCAGCCCACGCCCTAACTGCCTGTTTGTGTGTCATTTTACTATTTCTGTTAATTTCGTGGATGTGGAGGTCCTATGTTGGGGTTTCTGGAGACATCTGTGAGTAGGCCTACAAGAATTGTTTAGGGTAGAGGTTCGGGCGGCAGCCTTTCGAAATCTATAGGGGAGACTTGTTTTCGAACCAAGTTGATCTCCATGGGGCTAGCCATCTGAAATTCCGAATAGGACTCTAGTCTGTATTAAACATCTCTTTCTGTCCCTACTGCCCACGCACATGGCATGCATGGGTCAGGGGTCTTTTCTTGATGCTCTGAGCACGTGGTGCCACCTCAACTGTGATTGGCAGATGCCCGGAGGATAGACTGCTGCGCTGAGGACACCCAGGAGGTACGAAGAGGCCAAGGACTTGGATCCTCCTCAGTTAGCTGTGATGTAGCCGCAGGGTTCTGCCGCCCGTTTCCCAGCGCCATTGCCTTATAAGCGACGCCTGCGGATTGGTTTGGTGTCTGTTCTTTCCTGTCTATTCTGTGTTATCATCATTGGTTTTCAATTCAGGATCCACCACGCCACCCCCTTTCTATCCCCACCTGCGGGTCAATGAGGCAATGAGTTTCCCTGCTCTAAGGGAACATGGCTGCAAGGCTGCCATCTGCCTGGTTTCCCGGCCTTCTCTGTGTTCCACACACATGGTATGCAGAGGGGCTGTGGGGGTCTTTTTCCCACCCCTGCATTGGCCAAGGGTCTGGGGGTACCAGCAGCACCCCCACCCCAGGTCTCTCTGCCTTGAGTACATGGAGCTCGAGCGTATGAACTTATCTGGCCTGATCCAGACTTCTGAAAAAAACCTGCCTTAAAGTTAATAAGAACTGTAAAAGGGACTTTGATAAAAATTTTTATGTTGACTGAGAAATGAGGGAAAATGTAGGAGACTGAAGTAATAAAGAGGGAAAGGGAAAAGGAAATTTGTCTAAAGTTATAGAGAGTTAAAGCAAGTTGTCGAAGGTCAGAGAAAAGTTTGTTACAAGTCGGAGAAAAATGTAAACTGTAAACTGTTTGCTATGGTTTCTCATGTCTACAAATAGTAAATTTTAAAAACGGTAATATAAGTTAAAATTTTAACCATATTAAGCTAATTCTGTTTTTTAAAGTCCTGTTTAATTCTCAAGTAATTTTGTTAGATCCCCGAAAACTCAGGTATCCGGGGTCCCAGGCCACGACTGCGGGCACCCCAATCACCAGGCGGATTCAAGAGCTTGCTGCAAACTGCACGAGGCTTTATTGTAATTTAACGAGCTAACCCCATGTTAGCTCAGGTCT